TTCTACATGCCACTTCCAAAAGGAGTAAAAGGAAAAAACTGAAACAGCTGAGTTAGTGGCCAACTTCCTTACTGTAGACAGGCCTATGACTCTTTTTGGATAGGACTTTAATTGAATGTTCTAGCACTAGAAAGAGCCAAATTCAGTTTAGCTCTGGCTCCAAGTTGAATGATTGCAAGCATTTACACCTTATTTGTTTGACTCTGCTGGGGTCAGGTAAGAGCGCAGGTGGAAAGCAAGGAATTGTCTGGCCCACCTGCTCCACCCTTCTGTCTTGTTCTAAGTAGCAGCCTTCACTAGCTTCTCCTTTCAAGGGAATGGTTAATTTAACATTGAAGTTAAAAAGCGAGGGACAGCAAGAACAGAAGACATAACAAATGTGCACAATATTGGAAACCCTCTCTACTAAAAAGATATTCGTAAATATATACATTTTTATAGAGATTATGTGACACAAGACAGAAGAAACTGCCCAGCTACAGCCTTCTCTGTGCAAGCACCAATATTTCAAGCTGAAGAAGAGACTGAAAACCATACTGGCTATTTCACAACTTGACAGAAACTCTTCTGCTCATTGCCCCTGACAAAATGAACAGCCTGTCAGAATGTCAGCTGTTCAGAGTCCCCAGCCTTCAGGACAGGCAGAGGACAAGCTGCACTCAGATTTCATTTGGTATCTAGTAATAGAAAGTCATAGCTAACAATACGACTACAGAACAGGAGTTCAATGCCAAAGATTTTTGATTTTGCAATGTGGCTCCAGTTTAAGATAGTACTGACCTCAGCAGGCATGGAATACCAGACATAAATAAATGCTTCCTCATCCAGCTCAAGCAAATCCAGCCAGATTTCTGCAGACCCGTCAACAAAGATGAATACCACTTAAACCAAGAGGCTTTGTCACCACTAAGATCACAAACAGGTCAATTGACAGGAGGGACTATTTGAACACAGCAGACCCATCTACAACCAAAGTTTGTGTACACAAACAAAAAGCATGTGAAGCAGGACAAGGCATACAGGATCTTTGGGAAATCGATCTTTGAAGACACACAGAAATCAAGGAACAGTTGAGGTTGGAAGGGATCTCTGGAGATTGTTTAAGCCACCTCTCCTGCTCAAAGCAAGGTCAACTAAGGCAGGTTGCTCAAGATGGCCATGTCCAGTCGGGTTTTCACTATCTCCAAGGATGAAAACTCCGCAACCTCTCTTGGCAACCTACTCCAGTATTCAACCACCCTTACAGTAAAAAAAATTATTTTTTTTCCTTATGTTTTAACAGAGCTTCCTGTGTTTCAATTTATGTCCATTTCCTCTTGCCCTTTCACTGGGTACCGCTAAGAAGAGTCAAGAGTCTGTCTTCTTTATTCCCCCCTTAGGTATTTAGACATATTGATAATATCCCCCCAAACCTTCACTGGTACAGACTAAACAGTCCCAGCTTGCTGAGCCTCTCTTCATATGAGAGATGCTCTAGTTCCCTAATCATCTTCTCAGTCCTTTGCTGGACTCACTCCAGTATGTCTATGCATAGCAGTGGGGAGCACAGAACTGTACCCAGCACCCCAGATGCGTCTCACCAGTGCCAAGCAGAAGGAAATGATCATGTACTAACACAACCCAAGTATGTTAAATTTATTTGCCACAAAGATGTATTGTTGCCTTGTATTTGGCTTGGTGTCCAGCTGGTTGGCCCTCAGAGTGTACCAGTTACTCCCTCCCTAGGTACAGGACTTGGCATTTCCCTTTGTTGAACTCCATGAGATTCCCGTTTGCCTGTTGCTTTGGGAGAAATAAAGTACCTCTGAATGGCGGCACAGTCATCTGGTCATCAGTCACTCCTCCCAGTTTTGCAATATCCACAAACTTGGATCAATCCCATCATCCAGGCCATTAATGAAGACGTTAAACAGTACTAGTTCCAGTATCAATCCCTGGAGTACACCGCTAATGACTAGCCTTCAGCTGGACTTCATGCTGCTGATTGCAATCCTTTGAGCCCAGCACAGTCCACCCAGTTTTCAAGCCCATCTCACTGCTCATTTATCTAGTCCATATTTTACCAGTTTGTCTATGAGAACATTATAGGAGACAATGTCAAAAGCCATACTGAAGTCAAGATAAACCACATCCATTGCTCTTTCCCCATCCACTGAGACTGAACTACTACATTCCAACTATTAGATTTCAGACGTGCTTCTGAAAAGAAACTGGGATTAGAGAGATAAGGAAAAACAGTATAGTTGTGTTGAATTCAGAGAGTTACAAATGAAGAAAATAATCTGAGGCTTAGCAAGTCAGCAGACCTGCTTCATGCAGAACAGAACTAACTCTCATTTTTGAGTAAAATATCGGAGTCAAGTATATTCAAAAAAGTCTCTGAAGAAGGAGCCAGGGAAATTTTTATTGGTGCCTTCAAATTCATGGCTGAGGTGCAAGCAGCACTCCAGAGGTGTCACTGATAGCAGTAACAAAACCCCAAACTATTTCAGAGTTAAAGAGATAAAGAAAGGAGAAATTCCAAAATTTTAAGTATTCCTGGTAGTCAACTTTCTAGATACCTGGGTCAAACCACAAGATCCTGAAACTGGTATGTTATTTGGGGAATTCTGTGTACAATTCATTCTTTAACAACCAAAGGTCCCATAAGATTTTGTACATGTACAAGTTAGCATCTGTGACGAACTGCAGTTCTAGCCTGGATCTAGCCTTCCTCAGAAACTAATGGCTCTTTAAAGTATTTATCTCCTTCCCCCTGCAATTCACCCAAATGCTTTCCCGTTCAAGGAAGATCTAAAAAGATGGTACCAGTGGCCCTCAATCTCCAAGGATTTCTGCACCCCAATGGAACAGCCATAGTCTTCACAGACATCTCATTATAACTATTCTGAAGTACTTATTTCTACTTACAAATGCAAGACAATCATTACATTGTGCTACAAGTATTTCATAAACATAATATTACACTACTCACATTCCAAACAAAAAAAAAATAAAAAGTAAGCACCCCCACACCACTGCTGCTCACACTAGGGCAGTAACTAAAGAAGAGAACCATCGTTTATTTCCCCTGGCCTTTATTTTTCATCTTTCATGTTCTATTTTTAATTCCCACAATGACAACAGTCATTCTGCTACAGGGTTGATTCATGGAACTGTTTTAGTAGGTACATCAATGCTTCCTTCTACTTAGAAAACTAAGTCACTGTCTGTATGAAAATATATTTCTCAGGTGAACTGCATCAAAATTTGCCCACAAAGATCTAATGATTAAGGTATTAAATTGAGATTTTGGGGGTTCAGTTCTGTTCTAGTTGTAACTTTGGTCAAAGTGTCCAATGCCTGTTCTTTACTTCTTCATTTATAAACAGAGAAACTTTATACTAATACTGAGAGTTTATGTGTATTATGTGTACTCCTTTAGCTGCTTTCCCATGATTCTGAAGGGCACTGTGTTAGAAGGTGACCCAAAATAAAAACCTTATTTGAGCTTCAAAAAATTTCCAAACTGAAGATAAAAACTTTGGTAAGACAAACAGCTTCACAGCCAAAGCTGTAAGAGAACTTTTTGAAAGCACTCCTGCAGGTGTGTTAGTGCAAAGTGAATTGTGTTAACTTGGTCCATCTTTGAAGAAGATTTACTCTAAGGTGACTTTATATAGACTAAGACCATTGACATAATGCATTAAGATATTTCAATCCCAGGCCCTGTAACCTACATTAAAATGGTAACACAAGTAGCTGAGAAGGTAACTTTTAACGCCTCTCTAGCTAGAGCTGTAAAAGCTTGCCTCACTCTAGAACATACTGACTTCTGCTTTCTTTATTCTCACACTGGTCTAATCATACATAGCGACTCTTGTAGCTTTATCTTCCATGACACTATTTAAATACTATCTTCCCAGAACTTATGACCAATCGTTAGTGTACTTTAAGTGCCTGGAAAAAAATCAAGTTATGCAAAATGACTGTTTAGGCTGCTTGCAAAAGCAGCCAGAAGTGACGCTTTTTTGCGACAGCATTTGCCCCCCGACATGCTGTTCACTGCAACACTCCTGCCAATTCTAAACAGAGTCTTAGGTTTATTTCTTGGTTAAGTCTTGGTTTTGTTTAGAAGTTTTCTCCAGGTAGATTACCATAGCCTCCCACACAGGATGTTATTTGCCCACACAGATCTTCTTTGATATCAGGTATAAAACATTATCATTTCTGTTGTTTACAACCTCCCATCAGTTTAGTTTTGTTTGTAAACTTCAATATTTTAAGTAGCCTTTTCTCCTAGGATGTAGACACAAGGATGAATACTTGGTTTATTACACAGTCCCCTTAAAGGAACAGGTTTTAAAAAGTGAAACAAAACACTTGACCCCTATAATTCTAACTCTCTTGAGTATGATAAAATCTAGTTGCAACATGACTCTAAAGAGACAAAGGCAGGTAGGCAGTTTAGAAACTAGCATAGCAAGAGATGTGTTTTTTAGAGATGTGATTCAAGAGGAAGACTAAGGGACTGGGGATATCACAGCTTCATCACCTAAAGGAGACAATGACATATAAGAAATTTGTGTATGTTTTAACAGCTCTTCTCCCACATTAACTAGATGAACCCTGATTAAAAACAAACAGTTGGAAAAAACTTACATTGATTACATGTTTTTGATAAAACATACATTATACACTTGACACTCTAAAATTGATTTGCAGAGTCTGCCTGGCTACAGCAAGCATATGTTTCTGTTCGTCTCCAATACACTGATTTCAGCCATTTTAGAATGGGAAACAACTGCAAATGGCCCAATGTAAGTTTACAGATAAGAGGGGGGGAAAAAGGGGTCAAAAGAAATTAAAAAAAAAAGTTTCTCAGCATTAACATAAAGAAGAATCTCTTGTAGGAAGTAAAATGTGAGGAGAAACTATAAGCACCAGTAGAGATTAGAAATTAGGAAGAAGAGGCAAATGTGATGATTGTTTCAGGAATAAAAGCAGCAGCTTATACTTACCAAATTATCGGTTTCTGGATCTTCACAGAAAAAGGGTTTTCCTTCTTTCTCTTGCTTCCTTACAAAATTTTCAATATCTACATCAAAACTAGCAGAAGTTGTGCCTTCTGAGCCTTGTGTAGATTGTTCACATTTTTCAAATAATAGTGCTAACAACGGAAATAGTGGGTGCCTAGAATAAAAGTTAAAATACATTAATAAGTATTTTCACTTTTACACACATCACTGAAAAGCAAGACATCTAGCTCATGCAAGGTAACATTCACTCACATAAGAAACAGAAAGACAAGTCTTGGAAGCGACTGCATATAACACCACTGGCTATTACAAAACATGATGGAAGTTTGTTGTTTGTTTTTTTGTTTGTTTTTTTTTTTTAATTTTGATTTACCGCACACTCTAGAGGCAAGTGAAGCAGTAAAATATGTATATGTAAATAAAGAGAACAGATCACAAGCTAAAAAGCTGTAACATACTATTTAATACACTGTAACTGAGTGGCAAGAGATACTAATCCTCATTTCTAGTGCACTGTGTTAATGTATTTGCAAAAGGGGATGAACACAAATTGAAATTATGAAATGAAGTTTGACAAAATTTCATTTATTCTTCAACGTGAGCCTTATTTATACATCACAAATAACTTTACAGAACTGAGAATAGTATGCAGGCTGCACTCGGAGGCCTCCTATGAAATCACGCTCAGAGCAGAAGATGATTTTGTTAGCACAAGTCTGTAAATGAGTGGATACACCTTTCTGCTTCAGGTTTTTGGTTTGCATCTTTACCTGCAAACTGGTAATAACTATGTCTTTATAAAGCACTTAAAGTGAAAGAACACTTAACCTCATCAAAACTGAGCATACTGTTTAGCACAGCAATTAACACTGGAAAATCTCAAATTAGTATGTTTGTACATCAACATTTCATCCAGTCTGAGCTAATTACTGGGCAGTAGATTGTTATCCCTAAAGAAGAGAGAGTGAAGATCAGCCTAATTTACATTAAAATAAAATCTCACATTAAAAGATAAAAACTACAGTATAACAAATAGCGACCACAGTTCAACAGTCTGAGTAGCTTGCTAAATTTCACTTGTGCTTTAAAGGCAGCCTCCTTCAGAATACCCTTTAAAAACTATGCTGAAATTGAAGAATCCCACAAGAAAGGGAAGATTTTTTCCTTGGCTGAAGCCTGACAGCGAAGCTAATTTGATCTCATTCTTTCCCTGTAAACTACTGAGACAGTTAGCCAAGAGATCATCTGATTTTAAGCTATTAAATAAATAAATAAATAAACCCTCTGTTCTTTACCCTTCAAAAGACAGAACACGAGTCCATTACTACCTGTAAATGGCCTGCTTGTCTGCATCCATTGGAGTTTGAGATTCTACAGGGGCAGGACTCACCCCTTCTGCATCAGTTTCAGAGCAGTTGGGATCTTGTTCAGTTTTTAACTCTGTTACTACTTGCATCTGTACAAAAAAAGAGTTATAAGCAAATCTGTATGCTTCATGCAAAATAAGTGTACTGTTTTCTAAGGAAATAGCAATGCAAAGGGCTACTAAATTGCCAGAAGGTTGGTATGACTTGGCAGTTACACAAAAAGCCACAGCAGTAACAAACCCCTTCTTTTAATCCTTAACCCTTTGTGATGGTTAGCGTAAAGGGTCACTTCAGGTTTCAGCACTTGACTTTAAAATGGGAATGACAGGTATCAGTAAATTATTAAAGTATTTTGTCTCTGAAGTGGCTATTTTTGGAATAGGCTAGAGTACATTGCTCCAAAAAATGTATAGGGATGTCTGCATATAAAGCCTTCAGGATGAAAACAACAGAAAGGAAAGTTTTTACTCTTAAGTCTTCATTCTTATTTCTTACTGTACATTATAACAGAACACTGAAGAAAAGAGATCCTCAAGTTTTTTCTTGTCCATTAAAAATGCACATTTTCTTACGAAGAACTGAAATATTCTGTGTTCCTCCAATCTTTAAATTATCAGGAGCATAGCCTCCCCCTGACCTTTACCACTCAAATTTACATCTTGTAATAACAAATTATTTTAGGAATATCAAGCTACTGGAGAACACAGCAATAACTGCTTCTACAAATCCATTTAACACACAGTTATACAATCTGCCACCACTGGAAAAGCAACAGAGAGCCAAGGCTTCTACTGAGCACCTCCTAAATTGCACTAGGTGGCTGATAATGCCTTTGAGGTGCTTTGAAGGTGTCAAAAGTGGTTCTCCCTTCACCTCCAGCTAAATACCTTTCAGACTAAAAGATCTTAAAGGAACCTGACCTCTGAAAGTCATAGTTTCCACCCCCCAAATCCAAACTCCTTGGTTTTCTCCTCTTTGAGCACTGGGAACATCTGTACAAAGACAAGAAATCACTGCAATAGTTTGTTTTTTTTTTTTTTTTTTAATTACTTTAACCCTAAGAAGTTTTATCTTGAGTAGAGGACAGACACTGTTCTAGATACCACAAGGCAGCCAGAATTGACACCTGCAGAAAGGAAGTGTCCAGAATGCAATCCTCTGCCCTCTTTTCCCAGGAGGCGTACGTATTGCATCACTCACAGGAACCCTCTGAGAGGAGAGCTGGCCTCCAGAAACTATCAGAGAACCTGACTGTAGCAGAATTTAATCTATTTCCATACAAGATAGGCAAAAGGAACTTCTTTCCCAACAAGAAGTCTGGGAAAACCAAAGGTTTGTGCTTTATTGCCTGTCAGGTCCAAGCCACCTCCTAGCAAAATCAGAAACCGAGAAAATGCCAGCGTATCCTACCCAACAGAGCAACCTGCCCTGCAAAAAGCTTCCTCAGCAAGCACAGATGATTTTTAAGCCAGAATGCTTGCAAAAAAGATGCAACTAATAGGCTCATTTCTTGGCTAATGACAAGAAGGAGGAGCAAAATAAAAGGGGATGACTCATACAAGTGATTATAAATGTTGAGCCATACATCTGCAAAGTCTGAAGGCAGAGAGCATGTTCAGTTAGGACTCCATCTCACTAGAAAGAGGAAACAGCTCACTTAAAACCGCAAGCTATTTTCTGTGGGCCATTTCCAAACTACAAAACCAGCAGACACCTAAATTACCTGTCTACCTTGGTCACTGAGAGCTTAAAATACAAAACAAATAGAAAGAAAACACTCTCTCCCAATCCATTCTTTACAAAAAGACGTGTTACTTCCACTGATGTGTCACAGGATGGCATGTATTTGCTGGGGGAGTAAAGTAAAAGATGTAAGGTTGGCAAAGAGAGAGAAATTAGAATTGCAATAAAAGAAGCAAGTAACAACTACAAAAATCAATAATCCCAGATCGCATTCAGAAGACATCTTTTTATAAGGGATGGGAAAAGTTGCTGGTTTTCTTCTGACTGTTCGCCACTGTTGCCATCTGCTGACAGAAGTACTTGGATTTACTACTTAGGGCTGACACATAGGAACATAAAAATGGGTCTTCAGACTACAGGCCAGGGGCATGACTTGTCTCCAGTTAACAGCATTTTAATTTAACAATTCAAATTGTGGCAATATACAGCCTGTTGTACAAAAAAAATCATCATGACCAGACATACCTGAGCATGTTTTATTCTTATTTCTGTAAACAAACAGCTAGAATAAACTGGAAGCCCACTGACCAGCCTTCTAATTAGCAGTTCTAATCTGTAACCACATTAAAGTGAATTCAGGTATTTTACCGGTTTTCAGCCTGCAGCATAATTGCATCAACTTAAACGTAGTTAAAGTAGCATATAATTCTAGATAACTAAATTTATACTTCACTTGTTCAAGACTAACAAGTCTATGACTGCGTAAATGCCATCTATTGTAACTGCACACACATAAGAACAGCGAAGTATCATACGCACAAACATTACAGATGTCCATTTGACTCTCCTAAAAATAGGAACATTACAGCACACAAATCATCTAGAGCAGATTCAGAAGAAATCCCCGTATCTAACCATTCTTCCAGAAGTTAAGCAGAGTCATGCAAAGATTAGCTAAGGCTTTAAAAAGTATCCAAGTATTAAATAATAGCAGCTTATCAATTTAAAGATCTTGTTTTACAAACAAGAACAGAAATTTAAACAATGCCAAAGCAGGCATTAAGGAAAAAGTCACTACCTTCCTTCTCTTGCTAACTGTATTTAGTTCATAAAGGAAAACACACCCACCTGTTGTCCATCTTGATAGTTGTCTATACTTAATGTCTGTGTTGCCATCATGGTTAATAAAACATTAATTATGTCAAATCATCATAAGTATGAACAAATATTCTTTAAAAAAAAAAAAAAAAAGGTCAGTTACAATGGTGACCACTTAGAATCCAGCTCTAGAAAATGAAAAAAAAGACAGACATATACACACTTCTACTCAAAAAATCAGCAAGTTTATTGACAATAATAGTTACATGCGTTTTCTGAAAAAAAACCCCAAAACCACCACCAAAAAAAACCGCAGTCAGAAAATGTGACAGGTTTCATCAGCAAAAGTTCATTGTACCATTTTATATGTTAACGTAAGATTTTTAGTAAGAGACTGAGGTTCTTTTACATTCACAAATTTCAAGTAAACTTTTTATTTTTGCACTACTTAACTAACTCATCCTAAGGTAAAACATAAAATCTAGAAACAAGCAAAGATTTATGTTTCTGTGCTTTGAAAAGGCTAACAACACATTGAGCATTATTGTAACTGAAATAATAATAGTCTACAAGCTATGAACCAAATGTAAAAGCGTTAAGGAACACCCTATTTACTTATGAATCCCATATTCTAAAGTTAAGGCCTGAAATTACTTTTAGAAACTGAAGTCTCAAATCACTTCCGACATCAGGAATCTACCATGCAAGTCATTTAATGCTCCTCAAAGACTGGAACAATATCTAACTACTTTTAAACAGTTGGGCCAATGTGATTATATAGTTTCAAAAGTGACCCAAGAATTCAGAAGTTTCATTTTCATAGACATGTGATACTATGGGAAATACTAATTTTAGTGGAATTATAACACACGTAAATGTATGTATATTACTCCCTCTAAGCATTAGCTGGAGTTTGGTTCCCAGATGAGTTAAACTTTTTTTAAAATTAGACATTCATGCATAGCACCTCCACCAGATAGTTTATCCATCAATTTCCTAATTTACATTTCATTTTCTTGTCCGATCAGCAGCCATTACAACTGAAATCACGTAATTCATTAAGCTATTACCATTAAATATTACCATAGAACTCAATTTGCCTTGACACATAGGAGTCCTAATGTTTAGCTACTATAAAAATATTCATATTACAAAAGACAACGGAGCTATCATGTCTTGAAAAAGCTTATACCTAAGTATTAATTCTAGGTTTTCTGCTCTCTTCCACTTATATCAGTATTGAAGAGCTAAGTATTAGAATTTTCACCAGTTCAAGATCTGAAACAGAAACTTTTTTCTTTGTAATGTGTTCAATCACTACAAATTTTTCAACTATTTTTAAATTTTTCCTTCACCATTGCCTACTACTACAGTATATAATGGCCATTATAAAGAGCAATTTTTACATTTCTGGATATTTTCCCTCACAAATTATAACAGACTCAAGTAAATGTTTCACTTAGAAAACACAGGACAAATTTCAAGACTCCTTTCTTTGTTTACTTAACAGTTTCAGGTACAGAGACAAACCTAACTCCTCAGGACAAACTTCAAGCCTTACTTTGCGTCAAGGTCTATTCAAAGTGCTATTCCTAAGAATTACTGCAGGTTTTGTGGGGTTTTTTTTGTTGTTGTTGTTTTGTTTTTTTTAATTATTTTTAAAAGAAAAACAAACCAAAAATCCCACCCCAAAAAAATAGCTTTAAAGAACAGGATGAAGTAAGCATAATGTCCTTTACAAATTAGGTTATTGACTTTCACTCACTCATGCTTAAAATGGAGCTGTTACTCTTTGGGAGCCTATGCCATTTTACGCACACAAAAGCATCTTGGGAACCACAAATATGAGCATACAGAGCAATCTTGGTTCTGGCATTGGGTCATGTGCTTGCAGAGCTGAACAAGTTTCTATCTGTAGACAACAGGCACATGTCATCTTAAGTAGCTTGTGGAATACCAGCTAAAAGGTATGCTACACTCTGGGAAGTCTTATGCTAAAGTATATTTTTTTTAAGAATATAATTTACAGAGGAAAAGAATAAAGACTGTATTTAGAGTTTTTCTAATAGCTTTAGTGAAAGCATTTTCTGGTTCTAGTTTGTCTTTCTGTCTTCATAGAACATCAGTATCTCTCTCTTGGAAACTCCAAAAATATTACTGATTTCTCCACCAAAAAAAAAAAAGGGGGGGGGAGGAACAACACAAATGCACTCACTGATGGAAGAAGTACTTCAGATGTTTAAAATTTTTTTGTAGTTATAAATAATTTAATGCTAAAGTTAAATCAGTGTTTGCCACAATAGCAAAGTAAGATCTCTTTGAAAATACCTTAAGGGGAGATATTCTAAAACATCAGTCCTGTAAACACTTGTCTTGCATTTAAACATTTATTTTCTTTCAAAAATGGTAGCTTACAACTAGGGCATTAGTGCCTTTCTGTATTTATAGGGTGAAAGGGCACATACAAAATGCTGCTTCTCTTCTCAAAAGGCACACCTTTAATTTCTGCCTGTGATATCCAAAGCACAGACCAAATTACCCTCAACATAAAAGTAGACCAGTTGAACAGATCAGCAAAGAAAGAGTAAACACTATTCAGCTACTGCTTTAGAAGCTGAAGAAGTTCCTCACAAAATGCTGTAACAAAAATTGTTTGGCTGTGGGAGAAAGATGAAATTCTTATTTCCTCCTTTCTGACTAAGAAGAGGTAAAACAGTCATAGAAGAGGAAGAACGTCTTAAGAGATAAGCAAGGATGTGAGATCGTATTAGTGACACAAAGGACAACACGGAGAGGGAAGCAACAAATGTAACGCATGTAAACTGGTGAAGACAATAGGACATGGCAAGAATTTCTGCAGAATCAGACAAGCTGAACCATCCCTTCCTTGCAGATGTCCATAAGGAAGAGACACTCCACATCTGGAAACCCCTCAGGGCCACACAAAGGAAAAAAGAGGTGCACAGCTTTGAGCTAGATCCATAGATGACTTCATCAAGAACTTTTGCCCTATGCTCTCGCAGGGGAACTGCTGTAAAGAGCTCTACATGGGTATATCCTTTATTTCCCGTAAGAGCTTCCCCTCTGACTTATAATTACAGTAGAAGAAGATTAAGCTATTAGGCAAGATAGCAACTGATGAGGTTTAGTGAAGACAACTACTGCAAATCAAGAAGAACAAATTGAGCTAATCACACACTTAAATTGAGGCAATTAACTGAGGAATTACTTTGATTCACTAAAGAGAAACATCTTCTCATTACCCAGTAGTGGTAAGAGACAAACTATGTTAAACTTTAAGAAAAATAACTGAAAAGGTATTTACACATTTGGCTTTTATAACCTAATTTAGGATACAGCATCCAGTTCTAGTTAGCAGATACACAGCCTAAGCAGATGTTCATTCTGCAAACAACGATGCTAGACGAAGCTGGTATCGCTCCCAGATGTTTATCACTGCCACCCTGCCAGAGCTAATTACTTCCACAGCTCTACCACTGAGCCCACAGAACACGTGAATGATTTCTGATCCTTTTTACATAAAGTCAGCTAGGCTAGCTCAACCCACTGTTAAAGGTGGCTATGATGTAAACCAGCTGACTTCGTCTGAAGCACATTGCTGTGCACTCATACAACCCCTGCTCTTGGCTGACCTATTAGTGTGGTAATTTCTGTCTCATGCGTGGCGATTATCAACTCACAGCAGGACCATCTCTTAACCAGCACAGCTATACCCAATACTATATGGCCTAAGGTATCTGAAGCAGGCCTAAGAACACATGTCTTCTGGACAACTTAGCTTTAAAAATGTCAATTATTCTTTGTTAAAGAAATAGAGAGTAGAAGGAAAACTATGCATTTGGAGTATATTCAGAGTTACAAATAGAAAAAAAAATAACCCTAGGCTGAGAGAGTCTGCCAGTCTGCTTCATGCAGAACAGAATTAACTCTCACTCTGTTTATTTTGAAAACAAAGCATGAGAAAAAGCCAAGGAAATGTTTAAGATCGTGTAAACTGGAAGCTGATGCATGAACTGCAATCAGAAACTCCACTGATACCTGTGGCAAAAGGGAATTCGTAAAAGCATTGTGTTCTGCAAAACAAAGCAAAAGGAAAAAAAAAATCAAGCTTTTAATAAAAATAAGTACGAAGGTAAAACATAGAGGTGAAAGGAAGCTAGATTAAGAGGGGTAATCATAATTAGAAATATGGAGACTTTGTGCAAGTCAAGGAGTATTTAAGAGAAGAGATTAAAGGTGAGCTGAAACGTATACACAAAGTGATCACTTAACACACATCACTCCTCACTTGCTCTACTTACTCCTTCATAATTAAGAGCAAAGGGACCACCCAGTAACGTTAACATAAGGTACAAGCAAGCTGTTGGAGTTCAGTAATATCATTTTTAACATATACAAGCTACAACAGATGTTTGTAAGAGATATAAATAGTTATGCTTCAGGGTATAAACCAACCACTAACTGTCTTAGGGTTGTGAAGAAACTACCCAACAGACTTGTTAACAAGTAATCGTTCCTTCTAATTTTCCCCTACACACATTCCTTTGAAGTCCTTCAGAGAGAAATGGATGACCAGCAGATTCAGCACGGCTATTTGTTCATTCTTATTTAACTTCAGCCCTGGCACTTGCTCTATAATATAGATCCTTATATTCCACAAAAAAAAGTTAAAAAGAAAGAGAAATCAAAACAAGCAAGCCTGTCTGATACATGAAAAGCATCTAGAATTGGCTTCACTTTTCATCAAAATACGTAATGATATTTGCTTCTAGGGCACACTGCTTTCTAAAGGAGATAAAATACTGACAATGTGAAAGCTGCTCACCCCTTTTTTCCTTCAATGGGTTGAAGATGACATTATTTTGTTCCAGCAGAGTGAATTCCACTGATGTACAACGTAGAGAACAGAAACCTAAAAACCAACAGAGAAATATTCAGAAGGAGACAACAACACGCAACATACTTACCAAGACAATACAATTAGAGAAAATACTTCAGTTTATAATGTGGTTCCCTCCCCAAGTTTAAATAAACTGACAGGATTTTTTTGCATGTTTTGCAAATTTTTTTTCCATTTTTATTAATCTCTAATCACACCCACTATCCCATGCTATTATCTGAACTTTCCTTCATCTTACTCTATTCATTCTCCATATTTATCTTTGTCTTTGCTGACACCTTTAACAGAAGGCTACATGGACTGCTACCTCGCTTGCTGTTCAACCTTTATATTTTACTCTCTGGCTCAGTGCCTGTCTGCTTAGACTAGACAAGACACATCCCAAAAATAAAACTACGAAATGCAAATAGGAATAACTCATCAGTGTTGTAAAAATTAAGCATGAAACCAAGAATGGTGAAAGACTTTTTTTTTTTTTTTTAATTTAAATCTCCTTCATAATCATGCTTTGATTTTACCATGGAGTGTATTCTAACAATGGCCACGATCAAGCAATCTACTACATGATAAAAAAACCTAACAGACTATGGGGAGGGGCACGAACCATTGTTAGGATTCCATGTTCTGTGAAGACAGGTTCTGCTACAGGATTATTCAGCAATTTTTAAGAGCTTTCAAAACATTACCACTCAAAATTACTTTAATTATATTTAATTTAATAGCACCTGTTTGATATATTAAAGCTACTTTAAAAAAGTAGTAATGATTGCAAAAGCAAAGTAGCAAAGATTGTGAAAATGTATTCAGAAAATATAACTGCTGAAAAGCATTTAAAAAGTCTGCAAAACTATCTTGGGGGAAGTTGCAGACACTAATGTTGCACAAAGGCTACCTGAAATGATATGATGGCTAAAACACACAGCTGAGGTCTTGATCAGATTATCCTCATTTTCACACTGACAAAGTTTCTGTGTTCCCACTTTTGTCAACTGCATAAAAACTGGAATGAAAGTAACTCCAACATTTTTGAAAGTGAAATGAAGTTGGTATTTGGATTTGAGAACCAAAATTTATCCACGTGTAGCGTACAAGTAATGTTTTCCTGACAACTTCACAGAAGTTCATGAAACCTAGCTCTAAAGGAGCAGGGAAGACACTCTGGAGTCATAAGGCTTCAGTCATGGGTCAGAGATTAAATACTGAGCTAGCGTAGTGGTTTAAGCCCAGGTGACAACTGAGCCCCACACTCACTCCCCCCACAATGAGACGGGGGAGAGAATCAGAAGGGTAAAAGTGAGAAAACTCGTGGGTTGAGATAAAGGCAGTTTCATAGGTAAAGCAAAAGCCGTGCACACAAGCAAAGCAAACCAAGGAATTCATCTGCTGCTTCCCACCAGCAGGCAGGTGCTCAGCCATCCCCAGGAAAGCAGGGCTCCATCACGCGTAACGGTGGCTTGGGAAGACAAACACCACCACCCAAAACATCCCCCCCTTCCTTCTTCTTCCCCCAGCTTTATATGACGTCCTATGGTGTGGGATACCCCTGGGGTCAGCTGCTTCCCCTCCCAACTCCATGTGCACCCCCAGCCCCCTTGCTGGTGGGGTGGTGTGAGGAGCAGCAAAAGCCTTGACTCTGTGTAAGCCCTGCTCAGCAGTTAACAAAACTGTTACCAACACTGTTTCCAGCACAAATCCAAAACATAGCCCCATACTAGCTACCGTGCAGAAAATTAACTCTGCCCCAGCCAAAACCAGCACAGCTAGGGAGGAGTTTCGGTCCAAATTGATACACCTGGTCTTGAAGTCTCAAGGGGCAGATGATGCATCAAAAGTTCTTAACACTTTCTCTTAAACTGTCAAAGACATATGTCCCCAAAGAATGGGCTTATCTCATTTTTGTGACTTCTTAATTCTGTTCTGAGAAGACAGTGTAGCCTCTTATTCCCTTCTTCACATGCTATTTATCTTCTTTAATCCTAGTACTCATTTTCACTCACCTCAACTTACTGGGCTATTTTCCAGTGGAAGACTTCTCACTACTCATAGCATCTTCTGAATGTAGGTGACTGCTAGATAAATTGGGATCATCTATTCCTTGTCTCTGCTCAGACATAAAGTAGGACTACTTCACCATTGCAAGTCTGGAAAACCCGCTCCCTTCATTCAGAAACAATTGCAGCAAAGAACCAACTGGGCCACTGCTGCCAGAGCTGGTCACTCAAAAATATTTTATGTATGAAGAAGAAAGTAGCCCTTGCCTGCAAAGCCTTCTGCTGAAACTCTGGAAATAGGCAAGTTTCTAGACAGCGTATGAGATATTGAGGGCAGGAAGAAGAAATGCAGGCCCAGGAAAAAGATGCTGCAGAGGAAAAGGTTTGGCTGAGAAGGACCCAGAAGACACTGCAGTCTTATTGCCTTCTTCCAAGAGACACTTGACAGCAATTAAGACTAGAGCCTACCTTAAAACATAGCCAAGAAAACAAAGAGATCTGAGCTTGCATGTTACATCCTCTTGCATATCCCAGTGGGGGCAAGAACGGGGAGCAGATACACCTGTTAAAGGGTGGAGACAATACCAAGGCACGGTGGAGCCTGAACTTGGAATTCCTATTGCCAATTCATTTTTTCCCTTTTATTGCTCCTGCAGACAAGCCTTAAAGTCATGCTTTCATAATGAAGAAGATACTTATCTATAAAACCAAAACCAAGCGCGACTTGCTTTGTCACTTAAAAAGCGTATCACGATTGAAGTTTTTACTACAAAGTAAAATATGACCTTGTTCACTCAAGCATAGAAAAACCCTCTGTTCAGTCATTCTCTCATTTTGCACATCAGCTAGTAAGAAACAAAGACCTGTGCATACATTCACGTAGAAAAACATTAGCAGACGCTAAGATCAAGATACATTTATATTTTTACAGATTCAAATAATAATAATGAAACAATATGTAGCGTATATATGACAAGAAGCCATCAGGGATTCATTCTACCTTTGCTGCAGTGGTTACCTGTCCTTAACCTGCCTACAAAGAGACATTCAGTAAAATTAAGCCAGGCATATCAATATGAAGTTGATGCAAACAAGTTCATTAAAGCTGTGCTCAATGAGAATGTGCTTCTCATTCAGCAGCAAAGGCGGCTTCTGTTTCCTCCATCTTATGTACTTACAAAGTATAGTCATTATTTAGAATATTGTACTTTTAGAAAGGTGATGTCCCTGCTCAGGAATAGAATACCAGCCTCAGGGAGTCACGCTACGCAGATACAGCTAAACAGTTATTATACAACAGCTATGCTGTCAACTTCCCTGGGTGACCAGCCCTAAAAAGCCACAAAACCAAATTTTTGGCTGCAGTAAAATGAGGTTTACTTCGTGACACTTTTTTCCCCTTTTTTGTTTAGTGGTGCAATAAAGTTATTTATAGATTAATCTTGATGAATATGAGACTACATTAAAAAACCAAGTGTGTATTATACTTTAGGAAACTGAAAATTAAAAATAAATTAGAATCCACCACTAAGGTTAAATTTCTTCAGAAATACAGGCTACACTACAAGCTATCATCAATCTTACTTTGCCTGTAGGATTTTGAACATATATAGTACGTAACACTTACTTTATTCAGCAAGACCTCTCAAACACTATACATACTGCTTTGTTGTCCCATTAATCTTCCATAGCATCCTCTTTTTATAGCATCCCATTTCAGAACTTAACAAGCCATACCAAGTATTTATATCACAGACTATCTTCCAAGCACCACCACACAACATCACACAGCACGACAAACAACAAACCACCTCGTGAAAAGATTTGTGTCCCTTTGGCAATTCACTCTCTGTGTAAACTGTGTTCGGTATTTTAAAGGAATTCTGGAAATTCTCCTATTTGCAGGTACCAAATATGAAAAAAAGTATTATAAAAAAATGCACCATTTCACAGGCTAAAATGGCATATGCAGTAACTGATACTAAGGGTGCATAAGGTAAGACAAATTTCTCGAGGCACAACAACAAAAGCAGTATTAAGGGCATCTGGTTCTCTTGAAGAACTTCAGCTCCTTAATTCTGCACAAATCTTTTGTGTTTACACCAGCGTGTTTTTTGGGAAGCATGCATAATCGTGGTTCATGTTGACATAAATACCAATTTACCATAGAGCTTCTTAACAAGAAGGAAAAGAAAGATGAGAAATCCTATCCAACCTAGCCATAAAATAAGGTCACCTCAGTAGGATGCTTAGGCATCCTGCCTCCAGGTAGCTCTTGGCATTGTAGAAGGAAATCCTCAGGTTGTTCTCCTACCTTCTGCAAAATGAAAACCTCGTTCTTCCAGCTATTAAAGATTCTCAAATTCAAGAAACTTCCCAGAGCATCTCAGTTTCTCCTACCCATTTCACATGGTAATTTGACCCTGCTTTATTAACTCTGTAAAGCAACAGTAAGGAATTAAGGGGACTAAATAGAAATTTTGGTAAAAGGAAAACAAAACTTGGCAGAAAGGAAACCACCCTTCTTTAATTCCTCCAAGACTCCTGAGGGATTAAGGTATGAATGAGGGAGCAAAAATATTTGACATCACTCCTTCATTCATCCCCAATACATCTACACAGAAAATGAAGATTCCTTCAGGGTTTGTTTTTTTTTTTTTCCTCTGTATTCTTAACAGCTGCAAACTGAAATAAGTTCTATGGTTCTTGCTTGTGAATCCTGGCATACACATCACGACTCCTCATATGTATCTACTTGTCACAGGACAGAGAAGTATTTTTTTCCGCTCAGTATTTACCCAGTGTGCTGTCATCGTAACATTTTAGACCCAAAAATCAAGAAGATGCTACACTATCTGCCTTGCTGCTATCGTGGTAAGAGGACTGCATTAGAAAGACTACCAAACCCCCCTGACATCCCAGAGGACAAGTATCAGCAATTCCACAGCTGGAACTGATTCTAGTACAACTTTCCTACTTATGGATACTAGTTTCCCAAACACAATTTCACTTAAAACAAAACAAACAAAAAAAATAAAACCCCCAAAAAACAGCCACCACCCTCCACATTTTCCCTAGCATCCCCCACATGGATAAACAACAGGTTTGCCTATGTGCTAGACACAATTCCGTTCTTTTGCCACTGAAGCCTTTGGAACATCCACACAAGTGCGTAATGAATCTCTTCCTTCTGGAGACACGCATTTTATCATATCCTTCCAGGCAAATTAAACCAAAGCAACGGGAAATCCTATTTTAATCATGGTTTGTATCAGCACCCAATAAACCATGACTGAAATTAATCTTGTGTTTTGTGTTTATACTTTGTGGTTGCATAAAGAAGACAGAGAATAACCACCAATCTCACCATGCCTTTATTGCTATTGAATACTTTACAATGTTAGCAAGCTGTTAATGTAAGCATATGTAAGTTTTCCAACATTTTTACTAGAAAACCATAAAAGTTTCTAATGCTTCTTTCTATGAAAGACTGAATTCCTATGGCTACTGAAGCACACTTAAAGGATGGAGAGTTTTATCTAACAAAGAACTGCATTTAAAATAGACTTAAGACGTTGAATGCATAAGAAGAGCCCCTCTACATATTTTTGGCATTTAAAGACCTGATCAAAATTAAGAAGTTCCATTGTAAATTATTTCACTTTTAGATCCTTTACGATTTCAGAAATAACAAGCCTGTCAATGAACCAAGCATTAACTTAGGCTAGCTGAATAAACTGAAGTGACACAAAATCCTGGTCCTGCAACCCTCTGTCAAATTTGGTTCCAATCGTCAGTAACTTTTGCAGATTCTTCCCTCTCTGACTCCAACATCTGGTCAAACATGAACAATTTTGCTTTTCTGCTAAGTGTAGCCCCCAAAATTAACTGTTCTTTTCTTTTCAAAATGGTAATGAAATAAAAATTCTTCCTCTCTTGCTCCAATTTGTCCACACCTCTTTAGTAATGGTAAACCAGAAACCATCAGTTCAATTAGTTTTTGTGAGGAAGAGGTGCTGTGTCCTAGCCTCTTCTCTTCCTGCTGCCAACACTCTTTGTGCTCCCTTACTTTCCTACCCAGGCTCCTTCTGCTCTTCAGCCATGCACTGCCCTTCCACACCAACGTACTGCTTCTCCTCTTTTCTCACCTCTTGCCCTCTCTTGTTCCCCCCACTTCCGACCATTTGTAATTTTGCTAGTACCAGCCTTTCCAGGTTCCTGGGCCTGCTGCATTTCCACCAAGCTTCAATCTCTGTTCCCCACCTCTCCCCAAACACCAGCCTTCATCCCTCCATGAGCATGACTGCTCCCTAAGCATTCCGGGGTTTGGGGGAGAAACACAGGTAAAGCAAGACTATTTAGGATTAAACTTACCCATCACCTACTGCTGTGGGAGGCATCATGCTTAACTACTTGGTCCAGATGATGACTGCACAGTCAGGTGAGATGCAAGGACCAACAGACAGGAAGATACTTGTGTTACAGGGAATATTCAGATAGTTTAGTTAATAAATATTTGCCATGTAACATGCATGAAACAGTTTTTTGAGAGCTTACGATCTGTTGAAGTTTCTCAAGAAACAGCCATATGCTCCGTGTGAACGTTTATGCTCTCTCCCCCCCTCTCCTCTGCAACGCTAAATTCCAGAAATGAAGTTGATGCTACGCTCTTAAATAAGCCAAACAAGCATTTGCTCTCCCCCTTTAAATTAACATATTTACTTTCTCTTAAAGTCATTTTCAAAATGCTGAGTCATTTTAGCTTAAAGTTTCTGGAATAACCCCGCTCAAACATACTCATCATGGCAAATTTCAGTATGACTAAGAAATAAGCTACTGAAAACAACATCTCAAAATAAAATAAAAAACAAACCAGGTAACCTTACTCCTGGCATCGCTACTACCATGGCCTAGAACACACACAAATGGACTAGAACACATAGAAATCAAGTGACCATAGATGGGCCTGGAAGTTCAAGTTCGGTTATACAATACAGCATGCACGTTTTCATTCCCATATTCTCTAGGCACGTTAAACATGTATAATGCTCCAATTTCTGTTTCATAATCACCTCTGTTTCCTTTGAACATAAAAGACTTGGACTTTATTTTTCAGTAATAAGTATTATAATATCCTTTTCCCTTTGTTTGCTATGTAATTTGAAAAAAAAAAAAAAAAGCTAAGCAGGATGTGAAGTATAGCGACATTTCCTAGCTTCCTCTGTCCTCAAGAAAAAAAAAACAAAACACAGGCAATTCCAAAAGCTCGTATATAAAACATAAATTGGAATTTGGTGATTTAAAAAAAATAGCGTCTTCTTTTAGTACACCAGCAGTAAGCTCCCATATTCTACTTTTTTTGCCCGAATTTACTGTCAGCTGCAGAAGATGGCAGTTACAGACCCATAGGTACAGCAGGCTAAGGGACAGTCCACGATTATCACAGTCAGTTAGCTCCCATTTTCAAAAATGACCTTTTGATTGCCTAAGTACTTAAATGGCCTTCCTATTTAACAGCAAATAGCATTTTTATACACAGATGTAGAAAAAAAAATGAGAACCACCATGGCCTGGAATAGTTGTTATATTAAAGACAAACAAGCGTGCTCATACAAAGGATGATAAGCAAGCATGTGATGACAAGCAGATCGAAATTTTATTTCCGTGTCTAATACCACCTTCCTTTTTGTCCTTCAGTAACATACATGGCTTGGTAGCCCCGCACTGCTGGCGGGGGAAGCCAGCTCCTGCCCTTTACCAACCTCACAAAAGCATGCCAGCACGCCATTAACAACGAAGACTGGTATTTCCCAGATTCTTGGTGTCGTCATTTTATTTTCTAACCCACACCTAGTTCTATCTGATGATATCCGTGTTCTACAGTCATGACATGAAACAATCTTACTGAACGGAGTGAAGAACCTGCTAACAAAACCGAATACTTCCACACGCAATTATCTCAGGGAAAGCTGCAATGGTCCGGGTAAAATGCTTTGGTAACATCTAGCAGCAAGCAAGCAAAGGAAAGAACTCTATCAGCAGCTTTTTTCCTTGCTCTTGGAACGCTCTTGCTTAGAAAAGCAGTAAGTTGTTTTACATTTTGCACAGCATTGAGCTGTGGTTAAATACACACAAACACCCCACTACCACCACCCCCCCAAGAGACTTGTCATTTGTAAACCTACAGACTCTTTTAATGATTGAGACTGAAGCAAGCAGCTGCTGCAAGAGAGAAGTAACATTTGTGGAATTTTAAATTTTACACACACACACACAAAAAATTCAGTCTGACTTACACCAAAATAAAAATATTAATCTGCTTTATTGTAAGCTGTCACATGTGTGCCAGTTTTGCAGAGGTAACATTTGGCTCCCAGACCACCACATAATATTCTGAAATACAATTTGGACTACATCTCTTTTCATTCAGGACATTAACAGAGCCATTAGAACAAGCAGTTCCGCTATCACAGTAGTGGTTCTGTGGACCATTCACCCTTGGCCGTTAGCACAGGGCTTAATAACAGCAAAAGAGTTATTCTTTTCCAGGAAATTGAATTGCTCCTAAACACTTCTAAACTTGCTGTGGTAGCAATCAGAATTATTATGACTTTATTACAGCACTGCATTTGCAGTGCAGGGAAGGGTATGAGAAAAATACAGCAGTCGAAAAGCAAAATTCTGAAAAAGAAAGTACAGCTTCTAAAAGACACATCCATTCTATATGACTGAAGTATTTAGAATAAACACACATATTTAATCTGTTCTACACTCCTTTCAGTTGCACTAACTGAAGACTGCAAGGACTTAGTTTTAAAATGTTATTTTTAGATTCAAAAGATAATCAGAATCTTTAAAATTGCATCTAGATTAAGAGAGAGTACAAATCAAGGCTGTAAGTTAATTAATATTAGACTAACTTTAGTGAAATTTCCAAGTACAAAATAAAACACCAACCAACCATAATAAGAACATACACAAAATTTGAAGATTTGCCAGTTCTCCTATTTAGCACATCGGAAACTGTAACAAGGTGAATTCCAGTTCACCAAAGCACTTTAACTACGTGATAAGACCCACTTCAGATATGAGGCAGGTATTAGTATTCAATTTATGTAGAGAAGGATATACAGGCACAGATTAAAAAAAAAAAAAAGCATGCCCCAAAAATCACTCAGGACATCAGTGAGAATGAACAGTATCAGCCTTCAAAGCCTCAGTGCAGTGCAAAACCCTCTACACTACCGATTTTTACCCTGCGACTGAAGTAAATGGAGCTAAGCTTCAGTTAAGTGGTGAAAGGCATATGTTAAGAAAATGTAGTGAAACCTACACTGAAGTCTTCCTGTGGATACTTAAATCATATGATGACAAGAAAATATGTGAAGTGGTAATAGTCAACAGTAAAAATACACTATACACTTCATAAAATAAACTGAAGATAGAACACAATGTGAAAAAAAAATAAATCATAATTACTTATTTTGGGTAGATTAAAAACAGTGGCATAGCAAGACTGCTTCTTCAGACTGAATAAATGAAATGTTTGGGTTTTTCTTCCTCATGAGTTTTCAAAAGCCTTAAATGTAATGATTACATATGGCTACACACGGACTCAGAAAAGAGTAATTCTGCCATTTTATTTTGTAAGAGCTATTTAGAAAATGCACTCAAAAATGCATTTGCTGTTGCTTGATACGCTAGCAATGGCAAGGTCCAGAAATACACAGAAGGATTTCTGATACAATCACAGCAATTTGTTTCCTGGTTCAGTATAATCCATAAAATTTGTACACGCAGCGAACAAGGACTAACCAGGACTCATTCTTAAACAAGACTTCAGTGCTTATCCAGCTGCAGAAGCGATCATCACTTTAACTACATATCTGTAACTAAAGAGATATAACCCCGTAACACAGGCAGACCATAAACAGTTTATATCCCATAGAGGAAAGGGAACAACCTGTGAGTGTATTCACACTATGGAGAATAGTGAGGTGCATAAAATTTCATAAGCTACAGTTGTTACAATCCCCCTAATCAACCATTCTACACTGGTGAAACTTTGTGCAGAGCATGCTCTAGAATAAAATTATGAAGTAACTATATGTGTGTGTTTTTGTAAAGACTAAGAAAGAATTCTTTAGCTTTTTTAAAAAACAATTAGAGGACACATTTAGCATACACTGAATATGATCTACATCCTCCTGCTACCCTCCATAGGATGCTGATTGAAGTGTTTTCCAACATCCACGGACCAGAACATATTGTCCATGGTCCCTATTCCTGTCATCTGTTTAATGGAATGTGCACATCATATTCCAAATAGGGGCAAGGACAAAAATTAATCTTGCCTGGACAGCTCTTAACTGCTTGTGACCCCCCCCCAAAAAAATAAAAAAAATTCATTGCCTGGCATAAAAATTCACTTATAAGGGTATTGTACCAGATCTAGAGTCTCATTCTCCCTCCCAAAACCATGCTGGTCATTTACTTAGATGCAAGTCATGAAAAGGAGTCACAAACTGTGGCACATTAAAAAAAAAAAAAAAAAAAAAAAAAAATTACCCTGACTCCATCTCTAAAATTACGTTGTATGTGCCCATTTATGACAACAGAAAATATTTAAGAAATAATAAAAAGAGATAGCGATAAGCTATACAGAGACACATTAACTACTTATGCTGTTGAGTGATGAACTCTGGGCCATACAGCTGGCATTGTGGGAATGAGGGACAGCCATCGACTACTCCACGGAGACCCGGGACATGTGGATAATTGAGGCAATATTTCAGGATAAAAACCAGCACTTGATTTATTATTGTTTACACACATCATAAGCAGGGCCTCTGGGCTATGTCAAGTTTCAGCTCCTAATTGCGGCTGTGTAAACACTTAAGGAAGCCTCGGTCTAGGTGTCAAGAAGCCTCTCCTCCTAACCGAGCTAAGAGACAATGAGGTCACATCAAAAAGAAAAAAAAGAAAAAAAAAAAAGAAAAAAAAAAGAAAAAGGAAGAAACCACCTCAGGCCAGAACTGCGCACAGTGCCCCAAGTGCCAGCCGCGGACAGAATCTGCTTTCTATGAACAAGAGGGGAGGCGGAGGAGGGGGGAGCACAGCCAAAGACGCGCCAGCCCCCGC